CTTTAGCGTTTAGAAAAGTGAATCGCGATGTGCACCGGTCGGAGAGCAAGAGAAAACTAAGTCGCGAACTATCAAAGTCGTCAAAAAATGCGTTTATGTTTATATTACACGAGGCAACTACTCCGAAATTAAAATTTTAAAGTACCAGAAGTTTATATTAAAATTATTTTAAGTTCCGCGCGCGATTTCGAATTTTTAATGTTTAAATAAATGTACTATTGTTTAAATATTACTCTATTCTATTCCGCGTACAATAAATATCGTTTAAATAACTACGAGATTACCGAAAATATTAATTTATAAGCTTTAGCGTTTAGAAAAGTGAATCGCGATGTGCACCGGTCGGAGAGCAAGAGAAAACTAAGTCGCGAACTATCAAAGTCGTCAAAAAATGCGTTTATGTTTATATTACACGAGGCAACTACTCCGAAATTAAAATTTTAAAGTACCAGAAGTTTATATTAAAATTATTTTAAGTTCCGCGCGCGATTTCGAATTTTTAATGTTTAAATAAATGTACTATTGTTTAAATATTACTCTATTCTATTCCGCGTACAATAAATATCGTTTAAATAACTACGAGATTACCGAAAATATTAATTTATAAGCTTTAGCGTTTAGAAAAGTGAATCGCGATGTGCACCGGTCGGAGAGCAAGAGAAAACTAAGTCGCGAACTATCAAAGTCGTCAAAAAATGCGTTTATGTTTATATTACACGAGGCAACTACTCCGAAATTAAAATTTTAAAGTACCAGAAGTTTATATTAAAATTATTTTAAGTTCCGCGCGCGATTTCGAATTTTTAATGTTTAAATAAATGTACTATTGTTTAAATATTACTCTATTCTATTCCGCGTACAATAAATATCGTTTAAATAACTACGAGATTACCGAAAATATTAATTTATAAGCTTTAGCGTTTAGAAAAGTGAATCGCGATGTGCACCGGTCGGAGAGCAAGAGAAAACTAAGTCGCGAACTATCAAAGTCGTCAAAAAATGCGTTTATGTTTATATTACACGAGGCAACTACTCCGAAATTAAAATTTTAAAGTACCAGAAGTTTATATTAAAATTATTTTAAGTTCCGCGCGCGATTTCGAATTTTTAATGTTTAAATAAATGTACTATTGTTTAAATATTACTCTATTCTATTCCGCGTACAATAAATATCGTTTAAATAACTACGAGATTACCGAAAATATTAATTTATAAGCTTTAGCGTTTAGAAAAGTGAATCGCGATGTGCACCGGTCGGAGAGCAAGAGAAAACTAAGTCGCGAACTATCAAAGTCGTCAAAAAATGCGTTTATGTTTATATTACACGAGGCAACTACTCCGAAATTAAAATTTTAAAGTACCAGAAGTTTATATTAAAATTATTTTAAGTTCCGCGCGCGATTTCGAATTTTTAATGTTTAAATAAATGTACTATTGTTTAAATATTACTCTATTCTATTCCGCGTACAATAAATATCGTTTAAATAACTACGAGATTACCGAAAATATTAATTTATAAGCTTTAGCGTTTAGAAAAGTGAATCGCGATGTGCACCGGTCGGAGAGCAAGAGAAAACTAAGTCGCGAACTATCAAAGTCGTCAAAAAATGCGTTTATGTTTATATTACACGAGGCAACTACTCCGAAATTAAAATTTTAAAGTACCAGAAGTTTATATTAAAATTATTTTAAGTTCCGCGCGCGATTTCGAATTTTTAATGTTTAAATAAATGTACTATTGTTTAAATATTACTCTATTCTATTCCGCGTACAATAAATATCGTTTAAATAACTACGAGATTACCGAAAATATTAATTTATAAGCTTTAGCGTTTAGAAAAGTGAATCGCGATGTGCACCGGTCGGAGAGCAAGAGAAAACTAAGTCGCGAACTATCAAAGTCGTCAAAAAATGCATTTATGTTTATATTACACGAGGCAACTACTCCGAAATTAAAATTTTAAAGTACCAGAAGTTTATATTAAAATTATTATAAGTTCCGAGCGCGATTTCGAATTTTTAATGTTTAAATAAATGTACTATTGTTTAAATATTACTCTATTCTATTCCGCGTACAATAAATATCGTTTCAATAATTACGAAATTACCGAAAATATTAATTTATAAGCTTTAGCGTTTAGAAAAGTGAATCGCGATGTGCACCAGTCGGAGAGCAAGAGAAAACTAAGTCGCGAACTGTCAAAGTTAAGAGAAAGTTCATTTATGTTTATGTTCCACAAGGCCAACTACCCCGAAACAAAAATTTTTAAGTATCGGACTATATAAATAATATTATTCTAAGTTCTCTCGTGTTTTCGAATTTTTAATGTTTAAATAAATATACTGTTGTTTAAATATTACTCTAATCTATCCCGCGTGCAATAAAAATCGTTTAAATAATTATAAAATTACCGATTATATTAATTTATAAGCTTTAGCGTTTAGAAAAGTGAATCGCGATGTGCACAGGTCGGAGAGCAAGAGAAAACTAAGTCGCGAACTGTCAAAGTTAAGAGAAAGTTCATTTATGTTTATGTTCCACAAGGCCAACTACCCCGAAACAAAAATTTTTAAGTATCGGACTATATAAATAATATTATTCTAAGTTCTCGCGTGTTTTCGAATTTTTAATGTTTAAATAAATATACTGTTGTTTAAATATTACTCTAATCTATCCCGCGTGCAATAAAAATCGTTTAAATAATTATAAAATTACCGATTATATTAATTTATAAGCTTTAGCGTTTAGAAAAGTGAATCGCGATGTGCACCAGTCGGAGATCAAGAGAAAACTAAGTCGCGAACTGTCAAAGTTAAGAGAAAGTTCATTTATGTTTATGTTTCACAAGGCCAACTACCCCGAAACAAAAATTTTTAAGTATCGGACTATATAAATAATATTATTCTAAGTTCTCGCGTGTTTTCGAATTTTTAATGTTTAAATAAATATACTGTTGTTTAAATATTACTCTAATCTATCCCGCGTGCAATAAAAATCGTTTAAATAATTATAAAATTACCGATTATATTAATTTATAAGCTTTAGCGTTTAGAAAAGTGAATCGCGATGTGCACCAGTCGGAGATCAAGAGAAAACTAAGTCGCGAACTGTCAAAGTTAAGAGAAAGTTCATTTATGTTTATGTTCCACAAGGCCAACTACCCCGAAACAAAAATTTTTAAGTATCGGACTATATAAATAATATTATTCTAAGTTCTCGCGTGTTTTCGAATTTTTAATGTTTAAATAAATATACTGTTGTTTAAATATTACTCTAATCTATCCCGCGTGCAATAAAAATCGTTTAAATAATTATAAAATTACCGATTATATTAATTTATAAGCTTTAGCGTTTAGAAAAGTGAATCGCGATGTGCACCAGTCGGAGATCAAGAGAAAACTAAGTCGCGAACTGTCAAAGTTAAGAGAAAGTTCATTTATGTTTATGTTCCACAAGGCCAACTACCCCGAAACAAAAATTTTTAAGTATCGGACTATATAAATAATATTATTCTAAGTTCTCGCGTGTTTTCGAATTTTTAATGTTTAAATAAATATACTGTTGTTTAAATATTACTCTAATCTATCCCGCGTGCAATAAAAATCGTTTAAATAATTATAAAATTACCGATTATATTAATTTATAAGCTTTAGCGTTTAGAAAAGTGAATCGCGATGTGCACCAGTCGGAGATCAAGAGAAAACTAAGTCGCGAACTGTCAAAGTTAAGAGAAAGTTCATTTATGTTTATGTTCCACAAGGCCAACTACCCCGAAACAAAAATTTTTAAGTATCGGACTATATAAATAATATTATTCTAAGTTCTCGCGTGTTTTCGAATTTTTAATGTTTAAATAAATATACTGTTGTTTAAATATTACTCTAATCTATCCCGCGTGCAATAAAAATCGTTTAAATAATTATAAAATTACCGATTATATTAATTTATAAGCTTTAGCGTTTAGAAAAGTGAATCGCGATGTGCACCAGTCGGAGATCAAGAGAAAACTAAGTCGCGAACTGTCAAAGTTAAGAGAAAGTTCATTTATGTTTATGTTCCACAAGGCCAACTACCCCAAAACAAAAATTTTTAAGTATCGGACTATATAAATAATATTATTCTAAGTTCTCGCGTGTTTTCGAATTTTTAATGTTTAAATAAATATACTGTTGTTTAAATATTACTCTAATCTATCCCGCGTGCAATAAAAATCGTTTAAATAATTATAAAATTACCGATTATATTAATTTATAAGCTTTAGCGTTTAGAAAAGTGAATCGCGATGTGCACAGGTCGGAAAGCAAGAGAAAACTAAGTCGCGAACTGTCAAAGTTAAGAGAAAGTTCATTTATGTTTATGTTCCACAAGGCCAACTACCCCGAAACAATTTTTAAATATGGGACTATATAAGTAATTTTAATCTAAGTTCTCGCGTGTTTTCGATTTTTTAATGTTTAAATAAATGTACTGTTGTTTAAATATCTATCCCGTGTGCAATAAAAATTATTTAAATAATTATAAAATTACCGAAAGTATTAATTTCTGTTTTCGCGATTAGAAAAAAAGAATTACGATGTGTACATGTCCGATTGCAAAAGAGAACTAACTCGGAAGCTGTCAAAGTTAAGAGAAAGTGCGTTTATGTTTATATTACATAAGGCCGACTACCCGGAAACAAAAATTTTTAAATATCGGACTATATAATTAATATTATTCTAAGTCCTGCTCGCGTTTTCGTGTTTTTAATGTTTAAATAAATGTACTATTGTTTAAATATTATTTATATTGTACACAGTGTATATAGTATAGAACTTTTATACAAAAATTGTTTTAAATTTCTCGCACATTACCGTCTTTTTAATATTAAAACAATTATGCCAAATGATGTAAAATAAATTTATACCCTCTTGTTAACATTTATTACATAAGATGTTTGTAACCAAAGTAAAATAAAAAATAAAATCCATTTCATTACTTCTACTTGCAAATACACTATTAATGATTGTAATAGCTACATTTTATTAGATAAGTAATAAGTTTAAGCTATAATATTTAGTACATATTACATTTATTTATAATTCATTTTGTCTGATTAATTTATCAGTATTTTTTGTTCTATTCGTTAGTAATTATTTTGCTATATAAATTATTGTTTTTATACAATAGTCAGGTACTCTGAAGCAAGTTGCAATGGATCAACATGGTATGAAGCAACAAGTCGAACTTTTTGTCCATCCTGTGTTGTAAATTCTATAGCTTGTTGTCCATCTGATATTTCTGCCTGATCTTCACCTCCCATTTGATTTATAGTAGCAACAGCTGTTGCATCCGTATCTTCATCCTAAATAATCAAATTTTTTTAATGAAACTTAAAATATTTCACTATTTATAAATAATATCAATTTCTTCTAGATATAATGATATGCGAGAGATTTAAACAAATATGAAAAGCACAAGTAGATAAACTTACTTCTAATGCTTTGACAATTGCTTCTGCATCCGTTTGTATAGTTGATATTGAACTTGTTTTATTTACTTCATTGATTGCAGTATTATTCACTGTTGATACATTACTATTCTGATTTACATGAACACCTAAAGATCCTGCAAACTCTTGAGTGATTACACCTGAATGAACTCTAATAGTTTGACCATCATTTAACTGACTAACAAATTGTCCTTGTGACAATAATTGTCTTGCGTCTTGTATAGAAAGTGGAATTGGATTACCTTCTTCATCTGTAATCTAAAAAAAACAAAATTCAATGATTATTTTATCGATATTAACATATATTTAAAATTGTATTATATTATTTTTATTTTACTTGTAATTGTAAATCTGGCTCCGATAGTTCCATATCCATTCGTTCATCCGAAGTATTGGCTGTGTGGTGATTATGCGTTTGGTCGGGGAGTATTTCATTTTCAACATCCAAATGAGGTAAAGATTGTCCTGGAGTGCTTACCATTCCTTCTTTTTCACGCATCATACCAGCATCAACTATAAATTAAACGTAATTTATGTTTTCTTATCTTTCAAATAATGAAATATACCTTATATTTAGCCTGACAGGATAAATAAATTATAATGATACCAAAATGCAATGTTCTTGATAAATTGGGATCATCAGGATCTTGATAAGAGACATAAATAATTTGTTGTATTCCATCTGCAGATGTTTCTTCCGCCGTAATGACTTGAGCCATTTGATCACTTAATGAATTTTCATCTGTCTCTTGGGAGCCTGGTAAGATTTGCCATACTTCACCAACTGCAGAACCTTCAGTTATTTCACCTAATGTTAAAACTTTGCTTTCTCTATGCACCTGTGCAATAAATTGTTTTTATTATATATTTATATATATATATATATATATATATATATATATATATATATATATATATATATATATATATATTCTGTTATCTACATACAGTAGAAAATTATATATAATAACTAATGTTTTAGATTATAAATTACCTTTTTATGTTTTGTTAAGTTAGAACAATCAGCAAAAGCTTTTCCACAAACATCACAAGAATATGGTTTTTCACCTGTACAATAAATTTAATATACAGTATAAAAACAATAGATAATGTAATTTAAAATATGAAGCACCGTATATAAATACTACATATTATTTATATGAACTAATACCTGTGTGTAACCGAAGATGTTTTTTTAAAGCCCATTGTTCTGTAAATCCACGATTACAATGGGCACATTGGAAAGGTCTCTCTCCTTTATGCCTACGTACATGACACTTCCAGGTGTCTTTATGTAGAAAACATTTGGCACAAAACTCACATTTCCATGGACGTTCACCAGTATGACGTTTAACATGTAATTTAAATTGTGACGAAGTTGTGAATTTACGTCCACAATAATCACAACAGTATGGTTTTTCTCCAGTATGTATGCGCATATGCTCTTGAAGATTACCATTTTGAGAAAAACTTTTGTGACAAACTTCACAAGTATATGGTTTATGACCGGTATGCCACCTAAAACATGTCATTGTATTAAAATAAAAAATAAAGTGACAAATAAAATAACAAATAAAATCACATATTGCAATAATATAATCGTAACAATCAATGTAATCACCTGTAATGTAAAGTCAAACTGGTTTTATGAGCAAACTGTTGACCACATATTTCACAAAAATATTTTTTCTCTCCTGTATGTGTAGACTGGTGATTAATTAAATTTGCTTTTGTTTTAAAGCTAGCATTACATGATTTGCATACATAAGGTCGATCATCAGAATGTACAAGTTGGTGACGTTGTAATAATTGCTTATGTTTAAAACTCTTTCCACATTTATTACATACAAAACGACGGCCATTATTGTGTTCAGCTTCTTTATGATATACAACAGAACTTGGATGATTTAATACTTTTCCACAAATATCACAAGGATATCCTTTGTCCGATTTGTTTCCCTTTAATAAAAATTTTTATGATTTTTTTTTTTTTTTTTTTTCTTTTTTTTTAATATTATTAAGTACCAATATATAATTCAATTTACTCTTTTTCTAAAATTATATCTATATATTACATATATTTATAATTTATATTGCATATATCTATACTTATATAATATATAATTATATCTATATATATTACATATATTTTTTTTCTATGGTTTTTATACTTCTTACATACCTCATGAGTTAGCATATGACCTTTTAAATTTGTTTGATAAGAAAAACTTTTATTACAAATGTTACAAATAAATGGTTTTTCGTTTTCATGAATTATTTTTACATGTAATTCACATGATTCTTTTGTGTGAAATGTCTTTTCACATTGTCCACACATAATATTTGTATCTGAATTATTTGTTACATTTTTGTCTGAAGTCTCTGTGACTATTTCCATATTTTGATTATTTGTAAATGTATTTCCTGAATCCTTGGTTTCATTCGACGATGCATTATTCGATACCGAATTTGTATTTTCAACTATTTGGTTTTGATGATTATCATGTTCATCACTAATTTCTGTAATACTACATCCAGTATGTTGGGTCATTTTTTGATGCAGTGCAAAATTGTCCTTGTTTGTAAATAACTTCTTACATTCTCTACATTCGTATTTTACACTTTTATGAAAACTTCTGTAATTCATAAACATTTAATCAAAATTAAAAAAAAATAAAACTCATAATAAAATTTATAAAACTAATTAATCGATAATCATTTGTCTATAAAAAACCAAAACAAAAAAAAAACAAAAAAATATACCTACTTGTGTACAATATATCTACTACGTTGTAAAAAACCTCTACCACATAGTTGGCAAGTAAACTTATTTTTTCGACGTCGCAATTTTGGTCTACCACGGCCTCTTCCACGATTTACGATTACTAATTCTCCTAAATCCTTTCCTTCTTCAGTTTCTAAATGTCCAATTATTTCTGAAAGAGAATAATTTTCTTAATTAGTTTTACCGTGATCATACTAGAATCAATCCATAATATCAAATGTTTATTATATACTACTGACTTAATTATTCTTAATAATCTTTAAAAAAGAAATTACATTAAGTAATTACTAAATATGTTAAAATTAACCTTCTTGACCATCTGGAATTGAGACATTTAATCGTTCTTCAGAATCATCAAAATGATCAGCTTCTTCGTCCTCTTCTTCATCTATAACACCTTCTTCCTTAAATATTCTTTCCAATTCTTTGCCTTGAACAGCTTCCATAAATCTATTTTTCATTTATAATTATTATGATGTGGTAACATTTGATACTAAAAACATATGTTTAGTATATTTATATACTTTTTTACCTTTTGGGAACTTTACGCTTTCTACGGCGTCTACCATCACCATCAACTTCTTCAATCTCTTCCTCTTGTTTATCTTCTTCACCTTGACTTACTCCTTCTATAATGTCTTCTTTTAAAATTATCTAAAAAATGTATAAAGTTTGAACAAAGTAGAAATATATAAATATATTCAAATACATTACTCTCTTATTAAAAACCTTAGATTCCATATCAGTATGAACTTTGGGAGGCCGACCTCTTTTTCGTCTTGGTTTAATTAAGCCTTCCATTTGCAAACTTATTTCATGTTCAGCAGTATATAAGGACCCATCAGGCATTACTGAAAAGTGACCATTAATATTATTTTTAATATTATTTCAATAATATTATTTTCAGACTAAAATATATTCTATTACCTTTAATGATTATCTGTTGTTCTAATTGATTATCTTCACTATTTCTTATGTTATTATCAGAATCTGGCAATCCTGTAATAACTTCTGTATTTTGTCTCTCAACACGTAAACGTTCTCTTTCTGCTTTTCTTTGCAATTCGACCTGATGTTTCCACATCTCTCGTATTTTTTGTTGCCCATCCACCAATAATTTAAAAAATTGTACAGTAGCCTCCAGCTGAATATTACAGCCAGGGCAGATTGTTCTAGGTAATTTGCCATCATCTCGAATCTAAAAAGAAGAAAAATTCTAAAAAGTCCTATCAGATTATTAAATATAATCATTTTACTATCTCAAAACAATATAAAATTGTTAATATATTAAATCTATGAAATGAGAATCAATGAATTTAATTCATATGTAACGTATATGTACATTACCAATTTTTATATTTGTTTCTTTATGATATAAAATAATAAGAGAATAATTTTCAACTCAGCACTTTAAAATAATATATAATAAAACTGCTTAACGTAATTTATCATGTTTTTCAAATCTTTGATGTCTTCAAAAGATATCATATGTTAAATTAATGATTTTATGTGAACAGTAATAACAGTTCATTAAACGAGGAAGGAGTAGATAGGATAAAATAAACACGTGTTCGTTAAATACAAGTTTTTTAACCAATAATGAAAGAGTATATGTGACGGTGTAAATAGTAATAAAAGGGAACGTGTACTCATTTTTTAGCGTCATTATTTTTATACCAATAAAGATTAATTTTTGCGGTGCTCACTTAATGATAATTGATTATCAAGAACGATATTGAATATTTGATCTGTGTAGTAGTCGATAAACTCGTATAACGAAAACCAGTGGAGCCCCCATATGGATCATTTAGTGAGCAGTAGGAAGTCAAGTTGTAGTCTAATATTCGAGTATATTTAAAAGTCTTTCGTACCTTTAATGGTAAATAACGATTCACCATAGAACTTAAATCTGTATCATCACCCTCGCCCCTATACAATAATTCTCCATTGCCATTGTCTTCCGCACATAGCCGACAAATAGTAGAATCATACAGACGGACCACCGCCATGATAATAGTACAATGAGTAACAGCATCAGAGAAAATTTAGTGTCCGATTAATAAAAGTGGACAGAAAAGGAGTGTTGCAGTGACATTCTCGATGCATACAGTCTTTCGTATATAAATACTATTTATTAAACATTAATATATCGTTGTTTTAAGATCTATCTATACTATTCGTTCGTGTGTATTAACCATCGATGATTATAGAGCGATTCGTTCACGTTCAGAGGTTAAGTCTAGTTCGATTGGATCACATTCAGAAGTAGAAACCTGTGCGCAACTTGGATGTGCAGTACGTTCATTTGAAACTTACGAATATTGGCCACGTTGGTTACATGAATTTATAAATAAAATTATTGATTTCATTCGATTTTTACACATAACACGAAAATATAACAAGGTGGGGGATTTTACGTTATTATAAAAATATTGATAATACGTAACTCTTCTATCAAGTGTATATATATATATATATATATGGTGAGAGATACGCGTACCTATGTTACTATTAAAGAGTTCCGAGAAATTCTACAAGAAATAACATTATATTATCTATTTATATTTTGTAATAATTTCATATATCTCGATTATATTCCAACAGATTTATGTACGAAAGTAAAATATATTTACCTTACCCCTATGATGTGTTTTCAATGGATTTTGCAACTCTTCGATGATTGGTTCCTTTTTACACCAATCATTATGTTCCTTTAGCTATTAGTCTTTTAATGTTCATTGAATATCATCATTTTTTTTTCTTTTTTTTAATGAAAATTATTACGGATATAAAATATTTATCAACTGCTTATGTTTAAAAGATTATTACAATACTTTTATTTTATTTATATACAAGATTATGTTTGTCTCATTATACTTTGTTACTGTATTATTGACAACTAGAAATTTTATAAGAATATAGTAAGGAACGAATGTATATACGATTTTTTAAATATTTATGTTGAAATATTATGTTTACATTAAAATAGTAGATGTAGATCATTATTGTAATATCGCTTTGGTAACTATTTTATTAGAATGTTATAGATATATAGATTTTTACTCTCTATCTTACATAGCATGCTAGTTGTAGGAGACATTCATAACGAAATATTAATACATAAAAATAAATCAAGATCATTCAAGTGTATCATACTCTGCCAAAGGCAAATTTCCAATAATGAAAATAATTAAATTAATACAGTATATAAACTATAATAATAATGATATTACTTATTAAAACCAATCTTTCCAACATCCATATCTAGAAATTGCATATGCAGATGACTTTCAATTATCTGGAACAATTCTGGTGGTTGTGGTATTCTTCCTGTTTCAAGTTTTGACCACACCGGAACATCTGTAATATTTTATTAATGATATATGATATATAATATTAATATCGTTAACGTGATATATATGTAATTTTATAATTTCTTATATGTATAAAATATTGTATACTGATTAAAAAATAAATTACACATGCACACATACCATTAAAATGTATTTCAAATGCACCTGATGAAATAAGCTGACCTTCTATTGCATTGCAAATAAAAAATATCATTACACAGGCATAAAAACGATTGTCAATACACCATCGCCATAATGATGGTTCTGGTTGACCTAGCCGTTGAAATATATTAATTCCGCTAATGATTAAAACTATGATCAAAATTCTTGCTATTCCCTAAACAAAATGACAATTAAAATATGTGTATAAATCAAATATATAAAAGATAAGAAAAGAATATATTTACCAAAATGTTGGCTATCAACATATTATATCCAGGAGGATTAAAGTTTTCTCCATCAATCTGTAATTCTGGATATTTTTTTCTAAGAATACCGACATATTCTTCATAAACTTTTCTGTATCCACATGAATAGCTAAAATTATGAAATAATTTGTAATAATAAATATATTAGTTCAAATATGGATCTAAATATCTTATATATATAAATGCATATAAAAACAATATAGATGTTGTTCTTAAATATTTCTTATGCTATTATATTTTCTAAATCAATAAACAATGACATGGAGATTTTTTTATACAATAAAAAAGAGATGGAGATTTTTTTAGACAATCCAATAAAAATAAATATTATGGCCCAAATGATAAATTTTATTCGATTATGTGCTCATTGTGCTAACTTTAATAAATATAATAATATCACTCACGCTATGTCTATCAGTTATTTAATTTTTCCTATACTTACCAATAAAAGAATTTTAATCTTGGCCCTGTTTTTGCACGAAGTTTGGTTAATGGAACTTCATCTTTGTCCGCGTTAATTTGTATAATTACAGCACATAGAGTAACAAACAACAACAAACTTAGACTTCCCTTACGCATTGTTATTTAGTCCATTTAATATAAGAAAATAATACAGACGTTGTAAAAAAGTCACATGAAAATATTAGACACGCTTGAGATGAACTCTAAACTGCTGATTACGATTTATCAGGGGAGCCAAACTATTGTACAGAACGAAAGTTTATCATTCAAATAATAAGATTGTCAACACTAGATAGCGCTTTTAGAAGCGATACTAGCGCACTTAAAGGTATGTGGATTATAATAGAAATTCTTCTTTATTTACACGTATATGCATATAAATTTAAGCCTTCTATGAAAATATTGATATCTATGGTTATGATTTAAAGACATTATGAATGGAATGATTATTGCAAGTATTAGAATTATGCAAAATATCTTATGATTTTTTAATATATCAAAAATCAAACTTACAAATGATCTTTTAGTTATAAATTATTATTTATTTAAGTTTTATTTTCAAGGATTCTACTGTTTTTGTACATTGTACACAAACTTATAATTATTTGTTCTATGATTATAAATATTCACAATTGGTTATACAAGTTTACAGCAATTTAGGATTAATTAAAATGTTGAAGACATTTATTAAATATCACAAATGAGAATTTGAAGCGTAAATAAAAAAATAAAGAAAAAAAAAAAAACTGAAAATTAAAAAATCATCATAAAAATGAGTTCTATTAAATATCGTCAATTTACAGGAACTTTTATGATAATAAGAAGTATGGGTAAGAGTGAAAAAATTTTGATGTAATAACAATTTTATATTTTCTTTTTTGAAATAACTTTAGGTATTTAATATAGATATCGTTGTTGTTATTATTATAGCTACTGTAAAAAGATTTTATCGAAGAACTAACATTTTATCAAGTGGTGGAAAATTTGAAATAACTTTGGATCAAAGAAAACTTAAAACGCCTAAAGGGAAAATATTTGAAGTAAATAATAAAGCTTTAGCTTTAGCAGTGGCAACAGAATGGGATGCACAGAAAGATATTGTCGAAAAAGAAAATATGCACTTGGTGAGTTTATACAATAGTTATAGCATTATTTAATTTTCTTTCATATTTTCTCTTCTTTTTCAGACAGCTTTATGCAATACTGTATTGGATAATCCAAACAATCAGACCAAATTAGATATAGTGAATTATATTACAAATTGTTTAGAAATAGATACAATTCTGTTTCATTCCAGTGTGAGTATAAACAATATAAAAATTAATTATTTTATATAATATGATGTGAGAGTTGTTTATGAAATATATAATTGTAGGAGGTAGATGATCTATATAAGTTGCAAGTTGAGAAATGGGATCCTTTAGTGCAATGGTTTTGCGATCATTATAAAGTAAATATTGTTAAAACCCAAAGTATAGATACACCTACAGTGCCACTAGAAACGAAAACTATTTTAACAAGACATTTATCGTCGTATGATTTTAATGCTGTTCATGGTAAAATATCACAATTTTGTTTTCAAAAGTTATAAGAATGATAAAACAATAAAGATTTATGAAATATCTAGGTTTTTTATATGCAGTTAATGCACTGAAATCGGTGATTCTTACTTTGGCTGCTATTGAAAGAGTAATTAACGTTGAAGAAGCTGTGAAACTGTCCCGCTTAGAAGAGGAATATCAGGTATTGTATAAACAATTGTTGAAAATGTAAAGTATTACAAGTGCAGTTTAACATTTTCATTATTGCACGTATTTTATAGATTTCACACTGGGGAAACATTGAATGGTCTCATGATCTCAGTAAATATGATTTACAATCTCGTGTAGCAGCTGCAGTTCTATTTGTACATTTAAATTCATACTTTGTCACTTCGCTACCCAAAGGAAATAAAATTCTCAATAGTTAAACTATTCCTTCCTGTGGAATATCAAATTATTGATTATTTAATTTAATATATCAACAAGGTTTGTAATAATTTAATAAAATATGAAGAATAGTAATATGTTTGATTTTTTATATGGCATTCTGTAATTATTTATTGATTTGATATATGACAGGTTGATAAATTACTAGAAAAACGTTTTTCCACTGCTACAGAACAATCCGGACCTGTCCAATCCTTTGTGCATATGCAACTAAAAAATAGATTATGTAATTCATGGTAAATGATGAAATATTAAAGAAAATAATTTTTACAGAAGGTAGTAGATACCTATATGTAGAACCATGATTCAAGCATACTGCACCATTTTTGCAGGAATGACGAATACATTCGTTACGGTGGCATTCTCCTACGCCACGTCCAGTGGCTGGACTAGAACTGGTTACAGGGAAGACCGTATCCTTCGTACGCAATTCGATATCAAATATACATCCAGAGAAACCAGTGTGTAAAGGTAGATCATGTGGTAGCATTTCAAAATTTTTTGATTTGTGACCTCCTATAAAATACTTAGAAAATGTCAAATGGTACGATCTAGGAAAGAATTGAAATATGTATAAATTAAAAGATCAGATTTTACGAAGAATAAGATGCAAACCGATGTAAAGTATAGGAGACACGTCAAGTTGAGACATAACGCCAGCTGCTTGCCCGGTAACATTATCTGTACCATCAATGGCAAGCCACGCATCTCTCCCTTTTCTTCCAATATGTAATGTATGTGGATTATGACTTTTTATTCCTGGTGCTGCTGCAGCCGATACAGAAGCTAGGGGTGTTTTTGTGAAGATTCTGCGTACGCCTAGATAAATATCACTGCACAAATGAATGATAATTGCACTAATAGGAGCATATGCTCCGGTGCCGTTGTTAATTGTTAATACCGATTTACCTGAACCAAGATCCCAGGTTAACATAATATAACCACGTACATACGTTATAGAGAGATGATCTGATATTTCTTGACGCGAACCACTTTGTCCTAAATAAGCTATGAGAGATATTTGATCTAAAGTATGTGGAATGAGTTTCATTTTAAGTTCCATAGTGTCCTTTATTGAATTTGAAACACCATAAGCAATATATGATGAGAAGCCTGGTACCAGACTTGAAAAGGATGGACGTATAACAATGGTATCTGAAAAATATTTGGTAAAAAGTGAAATTACAGAGGTAATTAAAAGCAGATTACAATATAATTTTTAGTTATATTTCATATCACCTTCTTCACAAAAAAGTCCATGAGTTCCAATTGGACAAATGCAAATAAAACCAGTTCCGGGTGAACTTATACAGGTCGCACCTAGCGAACAAGGATTCTCGTCGCATATTGAACGTTCGCATAATGTCCCTGTATAACTGTTGGATTACGTGAATAAATTATTCACGTAATATTGAAACATTTCGTTTAATATTTAAACATGAAGATTATGATAAACGTACAAACTGAAACTATACTAACCCGGCAACGCAGTGACAACGAACAACACCATTTGTTTCTTCACACGCTCCAAAGTTTTGACATGGATTTGATAAACAAAAGAATGACGTACATTCTTCAATTTGAAATGTCTCAGTAGAATCATGAATAAAATTTTTCTGTATACCATTTACCTTCAATTATAAAATCATCAATTTATAAATATAGAACACACAAGCATTTCTCACTTTGCGCAAATAATAAATGTAATCGTATATTTATATCTAGTACCATCAATGAGTTCATGCAACCAATAAATCCCATGGCTACACGAGGAAAATAATGGGAAAACGCCAATGGTATGCCACCTAAATTTAATGTAGCACGATGTGGAAACTTTTCCCGTAATGATAACATTTGTTCACCACTTACAGCTGTAGTACCATTTACTAACAATCTAGCGGAACATTTATCAGTTTTATTCATAATATAATATTCAAATCTGAAAGAAAATAATGAAATTTTATGCAATTTTTGTTTGTCTTATATAAGTAACGATAAATCGATTTCTAAAATTCTACCTCATATCGATCTCCGCTTCAAATCCATTATTAATGGCGGAATCAATCTCGCCAAGTAACATCGTTTCCAAACCGCACGAAAATTGAAATTTCAATATACTACTTTCTAAATATATTAAAGCATAACGTTCATCGTCGAAATATACATGAAATATTATACCATTTTTGAAACGGGTTCGAAGTTTTACATAAATTCGAAGATTCATAGTATCATTATTGATGTTAATATTAATACTCTGTCTTGCATATGACTTTCCATTAAAGGCCGCGCTTTTAATACTTTTACATTCTTCCTCGTGTTCCGTACAATTGCACTATAAGCGCAAACAATAAGTAAATATAACAGCTATAAGATAAAACAATTCGTCTTATAACATTCAATACTTACGTCCGATACATTGCGAGCAGACGGCATATTGGTTCCGGTTACACAAGAATTTTCATTGCATTCAATGCTCGTTGACGATTGTTCCGTCGCAATGGATACTTGATCGTATTTTGTATGTAATGTACTATTTTCTAGATCAAGATTGACTGTAGTTTCAGTTGCATTTACAATTGTACTTATAGTAGTGCTGTGTTCCCGAGATTGCGTCGTTGAACTCTTAGGTGTAATAACGTACGTTGACGTTAACGTGGATGACAATTCTTCCTCCGAAATCGTGGAAACGGTCGGCGGTTCCGTCGTAAAAATAGTTTCTATTAAAGTTGTATTTCCCAAAAAATTATCAGTATCTAAAATAGATGATGCCGTTGTAGCATCAGTAAATAAGCGGCTGGATCGGGTAGTTGTATCATTTTTAATATCCTTGAAATCAGTCACTTCTACTGTCGGATAATATCTGCGGAAAATAATTGTATTTACACAAATATCAGAGTTAATTTTCTTCGAAACATATCGGAAATATTTCCTCACCCAATTGTACTTGTTGTATACGATGGCGTACTATTTATTTCTTTACTCGTTTGTTGATGAGTCGATGAAATTGACATTGATGAAAATGATTCCGTAATATTATCCTGATCAATGTCCGATGTTCTTGTACCATCCGTGAAGTTATGATAACTGATAGGTTCTGTTATTGGTACGGAAATCTCAGATGTGGTAGGAATTGTTTCTTCCTCGGTAATCCTTGCTTCTGATACGGTATGAGTTTCTGAAGCATCCTTTTTAGTTGACATTTGTACAAAAATCAATGATGTCTCAGTAAAAAATGAGACATTTTCTGTACTAGTCGGGACTACGTTCCGATCTGTCTGCATAGCTGATGTTGTTTCTATCGATGGATACCATTTTGTATAATGATCGATAGTTTTAGAAACTGTCGTTGATAACATGCTGGTGATGGGATAAGGGTACAGACTTGAAGAACTGGTAGATGTGAATAACATAGACGTAGGTGTAGATTCCGATGAAGACGTATCGATTGACTTAACGCTACTAACATTTACTTCTATCGAGCCTTTTGTCATAAACGGTGTTGATGCTGATGTCGATGAGATAATGTACTCTTCGCAAATCATTCCGCTATAATCAGGAGGACAAGCACAGGTGTAACTATTGATTCCATCGATACAAGTGCCACCATTTTCGCAATTTGCTGACTTTGACTCGCAATCGTCATATTTGAGTTCGCACAGTGTTCCGTGATAATCAGGTACACAGTAACAAACGGATTTATTGTCTTCTAATAAACACACTGCGCCGTTTTGACAAAAATTTTGATCACACGGTAAAATAACTTTGTCACAATCTTTGCCGGTAAAACCTATTAAAAAGTGCATAATACTTTTATTCCTTTTCATATCTCTTCGAAAGAGAGATCAATTTGATATTTCTGAAAAAGGATTACCGAATAAACAAGCGCACGTGTAAGTAGCTGGAACATTTATACAAAGCCCACCATTTTTGCACGGCGAAGTAACGCATTCATCAATATCTTCATCACATAATCGACCAGTCCATCCTGTAAAATGACGAAATGAAGATAATTTATTTAAACGTACGCACGTGTACGTACTGTAAAAATTCACCTGCTGGACATCGACAAAAGAAAGAGAATCCTGGTCCTTCGATGCACTCTCCGTAATTTTTACAAATCGTATCATTACAGACCGAAGCATCGATTTCACAATAATCACCTAATAATAAATAATTTTATAGTGTTGGTGTCTGTAAAAAAGAATGGTCCATTTGAGGTGAGGTCACTCTTACCTGAGTATCCATCAGGACATTGACATATAAATCCATCGTAATCGAGGCAGGTACCATTGTTGAGACAAGGTTGATTCGCACATTCGCTATACTTTTGCTCACAATTTATTCCTGTAAATATTTTACCTGAATATACTGTAATAAATATACGTGATAAAATGAATTGCAATAATTAAAATATGTACCTATGAAACCTTCGGAACAAGTACAATTGTAAGCTGCCACAGCATCCGTACATAGTCCACCGTTGAGACAAGGATTTGACCAACAATCGTCCCAATTAATTTCGCAATTAATACCGGTATATCCATCGATACAATAACACGAATAAGAACTACTATTTACAATAAAAAATCAAAGATCATCGTTATGATAAAAAGTGTGATGATATTTAATTTATCAAAATAGAAAGTACCTGTTGTCGTTATCCAAACAAATTCCATACATACAGGGATCGATGCTGCAGTTTGATTGTATCAATGATTCGCCTGTCACCAATGTTGTCATGCATACAGTTGCTAAGACTATTACGATCCCGTAAAAATCATTTGATTTCTTTCCAACATGTACCCACCTGTAGGACAACGTGAAATTAATTAGGTCGATGACCCTTATTCATATGCATCCTTATATTTCTTTTTTTCTTTGAATTACCTTCCCATATCTATTATCAAATGAATTGATGAAAGGAAGAAATGTTCAAAAATGAAAACCTTTTGTGGTGCTCTTGGCACAAATGTAAATTCTATACTAAAAGTATGTTTACTAGACATTGATACATCCGATCCATTTGCTGCCGTTGACCGGCTACCAACGGTAGCCTTAGCAACAGTGAAGCTACACAAGGTTTTCGACTTATTGCTTACGCCTGCGTAAGGATAATCTTGTCGATGTACAATCGTTTTTTTTTTTTTTTATTAACCCGAGAAGTATTAATTTATAATTAATTACGTTTAACACGAGTACAAAATTATATCATCTTCTCTTTTCCCTTTATTCATATAGAGAATCGACATGTTGAATCAAGAACTATCGTTTATTCGCATATCTATTCTCATTTTTATAAAGGTCGATCAATTATGCATACATATTCCAATGAATACAAAGAGCGCGATCTCGGAAGAGTCTCTTGCACCTATTAGGTATTTAATATAATTCAGTAATTATAGGAAAACGAAATTGGAGCTTTTATATTAAAATAGCATAACTCGCTCTCATATTAAAATCTATATATATATATATATGTATATATAGAATTCCAATAACTTTTGTCAGATGTGTGATTTAATGATGATAATCGTTATATCACACTAAACGCGATATAGATTTTAGTTTCATTGCACCCCTGAAAAAGATGAAATAGTTCATGTACATATACAACATTTACGACATATACGAACAGATATATTATGTAAGAACGCAATGTTGTAATATACGCAGTGTATAAAGATATCATGCACAGACGAGAAGTTTATACCTTCGAGTAAGAACCGTGACTCGAATTGTTCATTCATTTTTTTCAACCTTTTTCAAAGTTCGTATCATGAGTGTCATGGAACCAAAGAAGACAGAGATCGTCTTGAAAAATCATTTAAAAAGACATGCATTATTGTCCGATGAATCACAGGCCTGGACCGTCGGTTATTCATCTTTCGAAGGCCGTGGACTATTTGCAACTCGTGATATCGAGGCAGGAGAATTAATATTTGTAGACAATGCTCTCTTAATATCACCACGAAATTCCGAAAAGTATTTGCCATTATGCGTATCTTGTTACAAAAACGAATGTCCTCTTTTCCCTTGCGATCGCGGATGCGGTCTTCCTATATGTTCTCAAATATGCGAGGATTCAAAGAAACACATGGAACATGAGTGTGAATATTTGAGAAAATTAGGGCCAACTTGCGGTTCGACTTGGTCTATGGATTTATTACGTGCACTTTTGGCAGTAAGAGCGATTTCGCTTGATGATGAGCAACGCGATGTCTTGGCTATATTCCAATGTCATCAAAACTTGAATAATGATTGTGAGGTATGACAATATGAGTATAACAAACGTATTGTATATTGTTAAGAAAGGCAAGTCGTATCATTTAATCTGAAATTAAATTAAAATCATCCTTATATTAATTCCATTCACTTTTGTAATTCCAGTAATAGCAAAATAAAAAAGAATAATAGTGAAAATCATTGTAGAAAGACATCTACTTATTTATATTCGATATTTATTATGCATTCGATAATTGAAATAATCCTTTTCCTCTTTCTAAGAAATGTAAAAAGAAATTGTATTTTTTTTCTTTTTCTTTTTTTGTTTTTTTTTTTAAGGCCACATTACTTCGGAGTAACGTAAAAAATGCTCCAGAAGTCAAAGAAATTGATTTCATGATGATGGTCAGTGGAATTTTTAATACAAATTCATTCGAAACGATTGTCGTACAAGATAAAGATCATTGTACGAGTTTGCGCGGCCTTTATCCTATGGGAGCGTTGCTAAATCATGCCTGCGTACCTAATACAAGGCATCATTATGATTCGCAGCAACAGCTTTATGTCATAGCTGTCCGTTCCATTTCCGCGGGGGAAGAAATTACAATGACTTATATCGATCTCTTTTGGGATACCACATTAAGAAGACAGGTTTTAAGCGTTACTAAGAATTTCTCTTGCAGATGTAATAGATGCAAGGATCCTACGGTAAATAGATTTTTGAAATATTGTCGCGTAATATATAAAATATTAAAATATTGTCTTTATACCTTCAGGAATGTGGATCATTTTTAAGTGCACTATACTGTGCAGCTGATTATTGTTCTGGTATTTTATTACCTTGTGATCCTCTTAACAACGAATCCGTTTGGATGTGTAACAGATGCGAAACTATTATTAAATCAAGACAAGTTCGTTTATTCTTTCAACTAACGTATTATATCAGTTTGGATTATATAAGAATTACCTTTTTACGCTTTAGAAATTGTACGCGATAATGCTCGTTTATCTATTTCTAGATTCATTCGATACGTTCTGGTTTATCGGCTATATTACAAGAAAATATATCCAAACCTCCCCGGGAAATGTTAAAATTTTTACAGAAAGAACTTTCGATCTTAGTTCCACCATCCAATTATCTAATGGCAGATATTAAGTATAGTATCATTTCTTATTTTGGTAAAACTGAACATCTATTATGGGAAGGTATGATGATATTTTACATATATGCTTCCTAAATAATTAAGTCACATAATATAATGTAATATAACTTTGGTATTCTTCAATATGAAGGAGTTCAACATATTTATATTAATTTAGATTTAACAGATGCCGAACTGGCAATTAAATCTTCCTTCTGCACAGACTTGTTATCAATTTTAAATATCTTGGGCTGTGGACAATGTAGAAAAAGAGGTAATAAAGTATAACATTAAATAATACAAATAATACAAACTGTAAACAGGAGAGATAAATTTACATAATGTTTTTCAAAATTTGAGGCTTACTTCTCTATGAATTGTACTGTACCGCCAAGGAACAATTACGACGCTTTCAAGGAAGAAACGATTTTAAAGAAGAAAGATTGATACTTTTTAAAAAGGTACGTCAATTTATGATATTATAATCTTATCATTTCATTTGGTGACTGATTATAGTTCATTTATTAGATGAACATCGAAGATAACGAATCGCTCTTAAACGAAGTTATTAATATTTTTCAAAACGACGTTGTGGCAACAACTTTCTTAAACGGTAACTCCTGATATTTATATATGAAAGTATGCATTACTTCGAACAATTCGAATAATCCACGATTCTTTTACTAGAGAGCAATTCTACTTTTAGTAGCAGACTATGTTCTAACTGAAACATAAGAAAGACACATTATTCTTATATCTTATTATATTGTTATTAAATTAAATAGGAAAATATATTACTTCAATTTTTTTGATATACGACATATCAACGATCTTATTATTACATCGAGTTAAATAAATGGTGAAGGAATTTTTCATATTCATAAAAATCTGTATACATGTGTGACATTAATATATTCAATCAGGCCTTGTTATATTTCTTTGTGATATCAATCCAATTTTTTGCACATAACGATACATGTTACAGCAGACTATAGAAACAGATAATAGATTTTCAAAATTACAGTTCCAGCGATAATACAGCTAGACATTTTTTTACATCAATACATTTTTATCAGCATATTTGACATTTCTTAAGCACATTTCCATTTCTTAACTTTGTAAAATTTATTCTCTGTCTAGTTTCCTATATTGTCTGTTTGTGTAAGGAATTTTTTTCATCGCAAGCTTATTGCTTAATGCTCATTGCACAATGCTTATTAATACTGAGTCCGATTAATAAACAATGATACATGCGTGTATTTCCACGTTGCGCATGAAAAAGTATAAGTGATACAAATTTACAATAAGAGTTATAATCAGCAAATAGTAGAATGTTTCAAATTACTTGCTGTAACAAACACTTTGCTGTTTCGTATAATGTTGTACATGGCTTTAGAGCTTCTATATCATATTCCAAGTCGTCATTAGTTGTATTTTCATGTCTGCAAAAGAAATCATAAAAAAATTAAGTACATACGTGTGTATGTGTGTGCGCGTATAAACAATTGTACAAATATTTTATATAATTCATGCATATATTTTTCTTACCTATATACTAAATCATCCATGGACGGCAATAGATTGTTACTAAGATTACGTAAGAATTCATTTCTGGTTAATGCCGTGTGAACTAATGCTACATTATCCAAGAATAAATCAGTATGATCTATTTAAAGAATATGAAAACAGTATGATTATGCACAGAAATATATTATTTATATGAGTTTAAAGCTTTTTACATAACTGACCTTCTTTCCCGTATTTTTGAGAGAATTTATTAATAGTATCTTCACCAGCATATTTGAAAGATATACCAATTCTGTGAAAAATTGCTTTACACTGCCAACGATTTTCTGCATTATGTTGCCCAGAAGACAGAGGCCGACGTGGTTGCATTTCTTTTACAAAGCTTTCCCAGTCAACACCCAACGCATCACCTAAACCTTTACCACTTGTTTTAATATCCTCTTCTAATTCGCCATCAGATATTTCTTCAAAGTCCATTGTTTCCATATTTTCGTCATCCATATTTCTGGAGAATAAATTCGTATGACTATTAATGATTCATTAATTTCACAAATTTAAGCTCGTATAAGATTTTCGCGAAATCGTTTCATTACCTAAATGCCATAGTAACAGTATTATCTTTTCCTTTTGCATTGAATACAGTATCTTCTATGGATTCTTTAGGTGATGGCTGAGCTGTTTCTTGAATGACAGATTGCTGTTCTTTCTGCACAGTCTCAGGGGTCTTTTTAATTAATCGTAATTTGTTTGATTCAGCATCCTGAATGCAAAGAAAAAGAAAAAAAGAAAAAGAAAAAAAAGAAAAGAAATACATGAATATTAATTTATTCTATTATTAGATGTAATTTATACACAAATTAATCACATACCGTAACTTCTTCCTCCATATTCAGAATATCATCAGGATCATCGCTAATGTCACTGAGATCACTTTCTGTATGTAGAGTTTGTAAAGATTCTTCAATGCAAGAACGTTTCGGTTCAGGTAAATGCGTTTCCTTCACTTCAGATTTCTCCCTTGGTGTATTTTTTTTCTGATATATTTCTACGGATTTCTCCCGATTTGTGTGTAACCTGCCTTCAGCAAGTTCCATTAATTTCTTATTAATTGGCTCTTCCTTCATGCTACCATAGAGAGACGCTTGTTTAGAGGTATGAACTGGACATTCTTCCCTGATTTCTGGATTCGCATACGGACGTCTTTTACTGTAACATAATTAAAGAAGACATTAAATGTTAATTGTTATTATGATTTAAGAGCGCGCGTGCTTCCATACACACGCACACGTACACGTACACGCACACGCACACGTACACGCTCACGCACACGCACACGCACACAGACACCCAAATAAAACATTATAATACTTGTGCGATGTTGATTCTCCTAATTCAACTTCTTTAGATCGTTCGTTTCTGTAGTGACCTCGAATATGTACGGGTTGATTATCCCATTTTCGATTTTCATTAGCTTTCCAATCAGACAAAGAATTTTCATATCGCTGGGCCCATTCATCATCGTGAGCCTCCGAACGTGGAAGACTGTCCCTACTACCCCAGAGTGCTCTTGCTCTCCATTCTCTCTCCTCCCAATCAACGGCTGTGTAAGATCTATCTCGGCCATGTTCAACTTCTCGATGATGTGCCTCCCAATCGTCATTGGGCACAGCTTCGTCTCTATAATGCAAATTTTATATACCAACAAATATTTATCCTATTTAATTCTATTATATATAATTAGTATGGAAAATAAATGAAAAGTACCTTAATGCGGTACTACCGGTACGTAATTTATCTCCACTATAAATGGGATGTCTGTGATGATGATGATGATGACGATGATCGTCGAATGAGGATCTATCGCCAGTTTGTACAACATATCTCGAATCTCTCGATCTTTCCTCGCGAATCCCTCGTCTTTCGTCGAACGGGCTATCGTATCTTCTACCATCAATTATTTTTCTTCTATCGTCTTCGTGTGCATGATGATCTCGATAATCTAAATGTGGATTAGATTCTTCCTGATCCTCCCAATGATCCGCACCGAGTCTTCCATAATTTCTGTTAAAGCTTCTTTCAATTTCAATTGCTCGTCGTGGGCTAGCATCTCTCCTTTCTACCACACGATCTAATTTAGTTGGCGTAACCCTTGATTCTTTCCTATCGTGTTCGGAGCCATGTCCACGTTCGTACCTTGTACTAAATCTTCGATGTCGATCTCTTTCGTAATGCGCCGTGTCCACTCTATCGATCAAGTGATCGCGCGAAACAGATAAAGCAGGTGTTATTGCTACTGCCGATGAAGACGAAGTTGCGGACGAAGGGACCGGTGGTAACAATGGTGCAGACGACGCCGTCGACGGTGGATGTACAGTTTTCTCAAGAAGAGGAACTTTATCTAACGATCTTTCACGTGGAAATCGATCAACGCGATCCCTCGGTGAATTGGTAGCTTTGCGATTTAATGCATCTTTATCGGCACCATTTCTATCGTATCTCGTATCAAAGCGCTGAGATGAAGTTCTATCGCGTTCGTTAAGAGCTTTCGTCTCGGATCGTTCTCGTTCCCTGTCGCTTCTACGATCACGCGTGCTAGCTTTTTCATACGCGCTTTCTTTACCCGCGATCCGTTCTTTATCTCGGCCATACCGTGAATTTTTCTCCGCTGTTAGACTTATTGACGCCGATGGCACCAAAGATGAAACATCCCTATCTCTTGTTTTGATAGATTCCTTATCTCTATCACGGTCCCTATCCCGATCTCGATCCCTCTCACGATCCCTCTCGCGTTCTCGTTCGCGATCTCTTTCACGATCCCGATCGCGTTCCCGTTCCCGTTCTCTGTCACGTTCACGATCTCTATCCCTCTGTCTCTCTCGGCAACGCTCCTGGTTATCATCCTTTTCTTTATCGCGCTGTGGATCACGTTGATCACGGCTAAATCTCGTATGATTTCGTTCATCTCTCGCATGATCTTTATCACGACATTCCCTGCTTTTTTGTCGCGCTTTGTCATTCAAATACGATTTCTCGTCGAAATCTTTAGTAACATTCTTACGGTGTGCCTCGTCTTGGCTGGAAGATTGCCTTTGCTTTCCTTGTTCGCTTTTTCTAATTTCTTCTCTATCCTTATTTTTGTCATTCTTATGATTCTCACGATCCTTCTTTTCCACATCTCTTGATCTGCTTGAAGATGAAAGTCTCTCCTGATTTCTTGACGGTGTTACTTCTCGCTTTGATCTTGATGGTTTTTCCGGCGTACGGCTACGTCGTGACTTCGTAGATACAGTTTCCTTATTATACTGATGCTTCGTTCTCTCCGAAATCGATGGGGTTCTTGATCTGACATCCTTTTCCTTACATTTTGCCTTCAATCTATCGTCAGTTTTCATTTTTTCATCGAGCGTCCGATTTTTCTCTTTGTCTTGTTCTTTTAACTTTTCAAACGACTTGTTCTTAATATTTTCTTTAGATGGCACATCATCCGTATCTCTCAACTTTTTATAATGTCTATCATCCTTCTCCGATTCTCTACCTTTTATCGTTTTAGGCGAATCACTTCTATTTCTTTCTCTTGCTTTATTGGAAGGTAGGTGATGAGCTACCGACACCGATGATCCCAATAACGTTGGAGGAGTCGATGCAACTGCCGATGTAGAAACCTGTACCGTGGGAGATCTGACACGACTACCAGTTGAATGTTTTCTCGAAGAGGAAGACGTTGATGCACACTTTTTATTTGCTCTTACAGAAATATCTTTTTTTATAGAACCTGCATCGATTTTACGCTTTTTCTTAGTCACAGGTTTTTCATTTTTTGTCCCAAGCCTTTTTATCTTCAGTCTACATTAATTTAAAGACATTAATAACATGGAAATTATATGTATAATAGATCTACCTGAAATTATTTGACAAAATACTTGATATTATATGACAAAATGTAAATGATTAAAGACTTACTTCCTTCTTCTTTCCTTTTCTTCATCATAGTCCGTAGAAGCACTATGATGTCGCTTCAGTTTCATTTTTTTAACTTTTTTCCGCGAATCCGATGTAGAACTCGACGACGAATCTTCACTGCTAGAACTGCTGCTACTACTAGACGTGCTCGAGGTATGCGAACTTGAGGATGAACTCATTGCTTTTTTTTTCTGTCTAACTTTTTCTTTGCCATGAACTTCTTTATCTTTCTTCATTTGTATTTCTAATTCTCGTTGCAGAAGCTGCCGACGCCTTTCTAAAACTTTCTCGTCTTCGTATTCTAAATCTGTTTGATTCCACTCT